CCAAAAAAAAAAGTTTTAAAAAATTGCAGTCGAAGTTTAAAAACTGTTGTACAGTTTAGCTAATTGTCAAATTAATGACATTCAAGGTTTACACTTTGTTCAGAATTATATATTACTCTTGCATGTGACTGCAGTTATCATGGAATTACATGATAACTGAGCAACACAGTCACAGCAGAGCTGTGATCCTCCCACCGTGTTTTACTTTTAAGCTTAACCTGCGACCCAAACAATTAAGAATCTTACCGGACACCTTACCAACCCTCATACAAACCAAAGTATCCTTAAGAGTGATAAAACTTGGGTCCATCAGCAAGGGCAGCTGTGGTAAGACACAAGAAGTATTCATTATTAATCTAATCTCAATGCTACTCAATTTGCCAGCTGGTTATTGAAAAGAGCGACTTCTACGTTTTTATTTGTTGTGTTAATTAGACAATTCTAATTTATTTGGAAAAGAAAGCTCTAAAATAAAAGAGTATGCAGTAATCAACAAAAATTATCAAACAGCTAAATACAGATGAAAATGTTTTAAGAATAACCATTTTTTTTTTCTAACAACTTGACTAAGAAAGAAATGGGAAAAGCTGAACATTTTCAGTTTCTTATTACCACCACCAACTTGCTATGCTTCAAAAATGATCCTCAGGTTCCACGTCCAGATGAAGGCTCCATGTCATACAACAATTTTTTTTCCATGACGTCAAGGGTTTTTTTCTTATACAATTATCCTTATTTGCACTCTTCAGAAGTGTACCAAGCAACTATACACATTTTTTGCACATTGTGTAAATTTGTGTTTAATATTCACTGATTAAACAATCATACGTTGTTGTTTTTGTTTTATATCCATGACAATAAATATATTATCAATTCAAGTGCTCAAACACAATCTCCACCAAAGTAAATTCTAGCTAAACCACAGATATGTCCACAAAGAAGCAAAAGCATCATGAACTGCTAGTAAATGATGTGTTATTGTAATACATGAAGAATGCAATACAGATTTAAAGCTTTTATTAGTTATCACAATAAACCAGAACCAACCTAACTTTAAATTTCATTATAATTAAATACAGTGCATACTTCAGCTGATTTTACTTCTTTGTATGTTCACCAATTACTTAACACACTATTTTGTATCAATTACACATAAATAACAACTAGTTTCATCAATTCAGGGTTCTCCCCAGACAAATATATAAAAGACCCCCAAATCAACTAAGTGACACTGACACGATTATCATGTGACCACTATGTGGGAAGCATGATGGCTGGAAATATGGGACACAGCTCTGTTTTCATTGCAAAGCACTATAATACATACAATGTTGGAAGTACACCCAAACTTGTGGAAAGGAAGAAAGTGTCAAGTGGTAAAAATTGCCACCAAAAGTGTGTCAAAAGCTTTGATTTGATGTTGACAAACAGAATGCAAGTACCATTTACATGATGCGAGTGGAAAAAAATAAAATATTTCTTTCATACTTGAGTAGAGAGGCTCAACTGGAAGTTAGATTTAAACTTTGCCAATATTTATCAGTGGATCATATACATTACACACACACTTTGTCAATTTTCTTAAGACTACGTTTCTGTGCTTTACTTCAAGTTCATGAGCATAATCAGTGTGTTGTTAGCAATGTGTGGAAAAGGCATTGCTCAGTTAGGACTGATCTACATATGAGCTGCAATCTGATCTCTGCTACACTGTCAGGAGTTATTACTATCAATTTATTATTATTATTAAAAGTTCTTACAGGCAAAGCATACAAAGACTTAGTCTGGACAATGTGGGCTGTCATGATTATTTCTCAAGAGAAACCCACATGATAATATCATTTAGGTTTATATGCAATATCTCAGGCTTGAAGTGAATGCAAAACTAAATAAGCCTGTTCTTGCCTGAAAAACAGCAATATAAGACTATGAACCAGTGTGCACACAATGCTGAGTGTTTGCATCTCCCCTGTTACTGTGCCAGATTCACGTAAATGGTGTAGATTATTTTCATTATGCAAGAAGAAAAAAACTCTTGCTCAACACATTTTAAATATCTCAATAGGAAGTATAGTTATCTGTCATATGAGGAGTATTTGGAATAATTTTAAGAATATCAGTGCACAAGAAAGCCTACTGACAAAATAAAAAGCCACCAGTACCAGTCACTAAAAAGGGCTGAGGAGAACCCTGCAATTATTATAAAAGTTGGGAGGGAGATACAATACTATATTATGCAAATGTATTTTATACTCAAATAAATAAATAAAAACTTGTGAAATGTAAACCCTGATAAGGTAATATGTTTCTTTTAATTTTCTTTCTAAACATTAATTTATCCTATTAAATGTGAAATTCCATGTTCCTTTAAGAAATCTTACTCTGAGAAACTAGCATATAAAATCTATGAATTTTATATTTAGTATGGGAAGATAAAAGAGTACACAAAAGTTTCTGCACGTTACTGGGATATTCAATCTTCAACCAATAACCTGATAATACAAGAAATTATTTTAAATATGGTAAATTAAACACACCAGATACTTCTAACCTCCTATATCTGCCAGAGCAACAAGTGTCAAAAACATATTCTTGGGTATTAAACATATTAAACACTATATACATTATCTTTCCATAATCCCATGATATGCATGGCTTTCACTGCACAAGTCATTCGCAAAAAGTTATTGTACCAAAGTTCTAAAGCTATTGACCATCAAATACAGTTGGTAGCCAAATTCCAAAAAGGAATTTAGTTATACCACCATAGTTCTGTATCTAAATAGCCAAGGCACTGAAAACTTGTATGACAAGTAAAAATTGTGCTTAAAAAACTGATGCATTATGGACTTAAACTAAATCAGTTAAAAGTTTCTTGGAAGATTTTATAGCAATAAACACTTTTGTAATAAATTTCCAAGATTTTACAGGTACACTTAGGCATAAATTAATTCTATCTTTGTTGCAAATAAATAATTCTCTCTTACAAATAACTAATCACAAAATAATCCACAAAAGTTGCACTCTCTTTCAAACATAAGGAGATTAGAGTCACTGAAAACAAAAACCTTAATTCCTATAAAATAAGCTGAAAATATTTCAACATCTAAATCCTATTATACAATTTTTGGCTTGTTTTATTAATTCAAATTACAAATTGGGTTAATAACCTTTTTTTCTTTGTATTATTAACCTCATAAAAATAGAACAAATCAACTAATTTGAATCACCAATACTTTCTTTGTGATTAAAGAGCATGAAAGCTTACCCAATGATACACCTCTATTAATAATGTGAACCTCTATTTGAAATTAAATTGCAATAAACTTCTCACTCACCAGTGACATAAGCATAACTTTACACAACCTTGACACCTTAAAATAATTGATTTTGAAACTTGTATTTTTTTGCAAATAGGAAATAATTTAAAAACTAGATTAGGAAGCAAATTAAGTAATAATTTCCAATACTTTAAGCCTAGATTTTCTCTGTATGTAAAAAATGACTTGAAAAACTACAGTGCATCCAGTTGTGCTAGCCTTAAGACAAGAGATCCAAAACAACAGTTCACTAACAGGATGTACCTAAGTGGCATTAAGACATTTTGAAAACATTAAGGCTAAAATGCCTGTTATTTTATGGGACTAAACAACTACCAAAGGAAATTTTTTTTTTTTGTTTGGAATAGCATAAGTCCATAAGTAGTCACTTGTCTAGCTTGTGCTTAAAGATCTGCACAAAAATTTACTAGTCACTATAGTAACACAATAAGAATGAAGAGTTTGAAATAGTTTCCCCTCCTAATCAACTATTGGTTAACTAACTGGAACACTTACAAGTTAGATACTATCACACTATTTCTATGCTCAGTATTTCAATAATTGGATTCAACGTCTGACCAGTTTCATCATATGACTAGACAAGAATATGAGATGTTAAAAAAATTAATTTTACCAGAGTTACTATACTAGCTTAACCTACTGCACATGCTTTCTCCCAGGCATAAAACTTACACCCTCTTTCTCAGAAAGTTTTATTTCAAATTCCAAAATTAAACAACCTAATTTTCATGTTTTTGTATAATAAATTTCAAATACAAATTTGTTGAATTATTGGTGAGGTAAATACATAAATTTTTGCCAAAGTGTGTAATTCAAAAGGTTTTCCACCTTGGGTATCCCACAGACCTAACCATACATTTGAAAGATTAAACCCCCTTTAATTACTTTTGTTAGATAAAAATTAATAATCTGGAGTTGTAAGATCAGAATTAAATAATAATGATGATGATAATAATAATGCATGACATTAGTACCATGGGCATACCCCAAAATTAAGATCTTTAAGATTTAAAATGAGATTTATTTCAAATTATTTTACTGTAAAATATTTATAAAAGCTCAGTAGTGCTTTTAAGCCTAATTTATTGTCAACTACTTATCACTCAGCATAAGCTTATGATGTGCAAAACAAGTTTAAAAGGGGGTAGTGACACTTTAGTCTTTAAATTTTTTTCTTTCTACCGAAGCTTGAAAATGCTTAATATACTGATATTTTTATGGTTAAGGAATACATAAAAAAAATACCCCAAAAAACTTCCTGTATGTACTGAACAACACAATCATAAACACGTATATGTACACATACGGAGTTATTGTGGAACATATAAAAGCATTACAAAAAGTTGTATCTATATGGACAATGTCCTGTGTGAGTTTGTGTGAGTACAATACTGATAGCATTTGTCTTGCCAACTCCAAACCCTTCAACAAATACATTTTGTGAAACTACTGAATGAAACTTTCTGAATGGAAAAACTAAAGTGCCCAGTAAAGAAAAGTACTTTTAAAATTAATGAATGCTTTGGTTGAGTCTTCGACAGGTAAGCCCAACTCTAAACTTACAAGTCATTTAAATTAAAACAAACAATGCACACACACACACACATATATATATATATGAAAACACACTAAAATTCAAATTCTACACTGTATACTCACAATGCATATCCCGTTCATGTTCATATTCAATGAAAGCATATCCACGTGGTTTACCTGTGGTGTTATCATGCACAAGAACAATCTGGTGAAGTAGAGAAGAAGAAAAAATAGGGTAAAGCAATACTTCAACTGTGAAACAACAACACTTTTTTTTGTTTCACCTAAAACACATTTCACTCATTGAAATCATTGTGGTTAATACATTGGAAACTGTGAAGAAAATGATAGATTGTCCATTTTATACATTTAATTGTAAACTTCTTTTACCTGTGTATTTGTTTGAAACAGCTAAAATAGGTTTTCTTCATAGCATATAGTGCAGAAACAAAAACACTGTTAATAAGAACTCAATAAAGAGATTAGTAAACTTCTCTCATGGTTATCACCTATGCATTAAGCATTGCTTACAGGTGAATTACCTATATATAGGTTGGTTGGTTAAGAAAAAACTACAAAATGAACCATCTATGCTGCGCCCACTGTATCAAAACCTTGCTCACACACTGGTGAAAAACCAGTTAAAGTAGAATTTGCTTGAAAATGTTGCATAGCTATTAGACAAACACAAGTCACTATATAATAGGCAAGTGGATGGGCCATGAGCAAATACAAGGAAAAATCAACCAGGGGCTGCCAAACCTACCCTAATGCTACAAGTACATAGTTATTATTCTTGGTGATACTACACAGACTTTCAAACAAGTTTCATATTCTAACTGTGTGTGATAAAGTACACTGTGCTAATTACAACAAGTTAAGAGTCAAGGACAACTCAGCCTTAATCATGTATCAAAAGTAGGGAAATGGTAGCCCAAAGAATTGCCCGAAGAAAGTTTTTTTTCATTTATTCAGACTAAATATAATGAAGGAAGAACTAAGAGGGTACTGTTAACCCTTTTGAGACGGGTCACAGGTGAAAGACCACGTCATCTCATTTGTTCACTCACATTCAAAATTTTATTGAACTACCATTTCATGAATTTATGTCAATAAGTTTGGTATCAAATTGTAGATTATAATTCAAATTTTAGTATTATATGTTGCTTAATTTCTTGATTTAAAAGTAAATATTAAAAAAACAGCTAAACATTGATATTTGTGTGTCAGATGGTATGTTGAATACAGCACTGGTTCAAATTAGATGTTTGTGATGTCAAAAATACAAAGTCTATAGTTTCTTACGAATTAGGAATTCAAACTACTGATATTGACAAGCTAGAATAGAAAGTAAGAACCCATTTTTTATTTATTTATACATACATATACAGGGGTTGGACAAAATAATGGAAACACCTAACATTTTGGAATCATAATCTTTGAACATGTTATATTGTTTATTATTGTTGCTATTTGATATTTTATTTAAATTAACTGTTTTTTACAGATATCTAAAAAAAATTTGG